GGGCCTTGGGCACCACGATAAGGCTCGATCATTTATAATCCGCTGGCGTAAGTAGCCCTCCGCTCTCCTCCCTGGCTGATTGCAAGGAGAAGGAATAAAGGGAACCTAGAACTTCCGGCGCCCGGGTTCGTCTAGGAGATTGATTCACCGAGACATCGCGGCAATTCCGACGAAATTGCATTTTATTCTATAATCGCCTCTAACCCCACGTCACCGAAACGATCATGTTATTACAACCACTGTAACCTGTAATATTGTATATTTTGTAGATTGAAATTTACGATTATATATATATATATATATATATATATATATAAAATGTACCTTAATTTTTACAAACTCAATTATATTGCGCGACAATATACATAAACATGTATTAAAAGTAATTTGTAATTTAACATATTAAAATGTAGATTGTTTTGTAATGTGCTATATATTAGAATAGAACACTTCGCAGTGTACAATAATAAATAACTCGGGCGTTCAATAATATGAAAAAATGACGTTGGCTTCCGGAGAGTATAACCGAAAGCGTCTTAATATCTCTCATTACTGTCCCGCTTCTCGAGTCCCTGGTGACTGCGCAATTAAAAAGCTAAGATTGATAAATGACGGGGAATTAATGCACGCAGAATGACGGCGAGGTGGGGTGGAAAAGTGGCAGGGATACATAGTTGAGCCGGAGAACGGAGCGTGTGTACAGGGTCCGCCGGGTCGAAGGGGGCCGGGTGATTGCGGGTGGCTTAATGGTGTTTGTATGCATGGGAACCAGCCCTAGGGTCGAGGTAGTTATCGCCCACCAGGGTATGGACCGAAAATCGGAGCGCGGTTTAAACGTGTCGGAAATCCTGCTTCAACGCTCCTGCGTGAGGTATCTCGCGATTTAATCGCGAATCAAAATCGATTTCTCTTAGTTTATTATATTTTCAAATTATTAGATTAATGCGTGCACATATTATCACTGCAATGTGAAAATTTTGAAATAATCTGAAATCTTTTCTTTTAATTGAGTAAAATATATTTTTAAAAAATCTCTCGGGAGTTACCATAAACTTGTATCGATTACCGAGACGGCACGTGATGACCTTGGCTCTCTTCTTACTGTTGCAGGTGACGCGAGTAACGCGAGTATCGGTAGCGGCGAGGGCACGGGCGAGGAAGACGACGACTCGTCGGGCAAGAAGAACCAAAAGAAGCGGGGTATCTTTCCTAAGGTTGCGACGAACATCCTCAGGGCGTGGCTCTTTCAACATCTCACGGTAAGTACCTTCTTCCTTCATACAGCAAGTCAACGATGCTGTCTGTCCTCGAAGGATATTAAGCGTCGCGATGTCGCCGTCGAAGAAACGGGTTGTCACTCATCACCTTCATTCGCGAACGTATCTTTTTCGCGCATGTACGACTCGCAGTTGCGAACAAGGCGAGAGAGTGCCGTTGACATATTTGCTCGTAGCTATTAAGACTGTCGAAATGTTTTGAAATCGTGACTGGTTTCAAGTATAAATACACTACGCTATGCGTCTAGTGCGATCAAGTATCGCGCGAACCAATTATGGATAACAATTTGCAGTTTTTATCAATTTTGACATTAGTGTAAAGATTTTATTTCGATTTTAATATAAAAATATGCACGGGTTGCTTATTCCAATCTCTAACGACACATTTTTACGAATCGCGCATCGATCCTGTTCGAGTATCTTAAGCATCGAGCTTTCGGAGGAAGCTTCTGTTTCTCAGAATGCACGCGTCAGTCCGCGGTCAATTAGCAAAAAAAGCACACTCGGACGAAAGAGGGACGGTCAAAAACGGGAGGGAGAAGGAAAGAGAAACGACGGGAGTTTAATCTCGTAATGCCGAGATAAGGAACGATCCGTAGTACGGTGGTGGTAGTGGCTCTCGATTCTACCGGAGCCCGAGTATCTAATGATTCACGGGTAATCTGAGCCGCAAAAAGCGCAACGCGATTAAGGGGGAGAACGCCGGCCGAACCCCGGCGTCGGCGGCGGTCGCCGCAGTTGCGTAACGCGGCTATTCCAAGCGCAATACATTGTCCCTCACTCTGCACAAGTTTCTCTGTCTTTATCTCTCTCCCGTACACTCCCGGACACCCCATAGATTTCGGGTGTGATCAGGTTACCTTGCGAGAGCGGTAATCATATTGCAGCTCGGTTAATGCCATTACCGCACCGGAGGGGGGAGGAGGAGAGAGTTGGCAGCCACCCTCGAAGCCACCCTGCAGCCACCTACCGTCCGCCCTCCCCCCTCGCTCCCCGCTTACCCTGTACTGTATCGCGGCTTCAGCAACCCCCCTAACAACGTGTATTGGATATGACGTCGGGGATAGTGGGTTCATGGTTTAATGCATATACGCTGTTTGCAGAATGACGATACCGCGCTCGCTCGTAGAAAGACGAGCCCGCGGTTAGCGCTCCTCTTGCCTCTTGGTTAATCGCGTCGGTCGAGAGCTCTCGCGGATGTTAACGGCCTCATACACGGTGCCCAAGTTAAAAGGATTTTAGTGTAAACCGACGGCGCATCGGGACTCGACGCCTCGTCCCCCGACGACGCCCGTACCGAGTTTCGATGTCTGTCGATTCGTTGGAAGTTTGTTTCGATGTACCATATGGGAGCGCGGAGAGTTTCAGTCGATATGCACATTAATCCCCGGTGTGCCTTGCGTCCTCATATTCGTTAATCTTCATGCATATCTATCACGTGTAACTACGTTTTCGTTTTAATATTACTTTTGTGCAGCGCATTCGAAATCACTCGCGCGGAAATACAATTTCGAACTATAATTATTCTAACGGCAACACAATTTCGATTAGACGCGGTTAAAGTCGCGGAGTGAAATATATACCAGAATGCACTAATGGTCCGTATTTTTCTCGCTCGCATGTTTGAAGTTCATTGGATTATCGTAAAAAGACACAGAAACGCGCTCGCTGTAATGACGAAAAAAAAAAAAAAAAACGTACAGATCCAAGACGCACCAGAACTCACGGAACTCGTTCGCGAGCGATTATACGGTGCCATCCGCCAGAAATTACGAACGTTTTTCGCGACCGCCGTCTCGGAGAGCGCCGCATTCGTCTCGGCGTTATTACGAGCGATTAAGCGACTATACCGCGGCCCGGAATTCATTCGGTGCACTGGATACATATTACACCTTAAAAGAGTAACTGGCGCGAGCCAACCGCGTATTTACTCGAGTGCCAAGGTCCTTAAACGCCCTCCCGACGTTTCGCCTTTTTTCGCCAGACGAATTACGATCTTACGATTCTCCGTTTAATGTCCTAATTTCCTGTGCTTCTCTCCGCACCGATGACGCGCACATTTTAACAGAATCCCGCGAGGTCGATGACCCATCGCGATCTCTTGGCGCGAATTTAAGTATATATCACAATCGCGGTGCACCAACAATCCGATAACGGAAAATTATGACGTATTCCGAATTTCCTCGGCGATGTTTGCGAGTCGCGGCAAGTCGAAGGTATCCGCCATAAATTCATTGTGTCCAACAGGAATATGCCGATCGTCGCTCATTCCGTTTTCGTCGTATAGAAGCATTGCCGTCGGGAATTCCAGGTCGTGTTCAACCATCGGCTGCCGTCGTTTAGTCTAGCCGGTTAAACATTCGGAATCGTGACGTCTCGCGCCAAGGAATTCGTTGGGGCGCGCCAATGGTCTGTCCCGGTTCGCAGCAGCTAGTCCGCATTGACACCGTAGACGGGAAGCAGCCGAGCGTATTGCAGTACGCTTGAATAGACATAGTTTATGTATACACATAGTTTAGATCGAGGGAGACCGACAGAAGGAAATAAGTAGCGTTCAATGGAAAAGCGAATACCGAGGAGCGTGGCGAGCGTTGCGTTAAAATGTATAGAGTGAAGAGGAGTGGCGGGGAAAGGAAAGTAAATACGGAAATAAAATTGCGAGAAGATCGGGTGTGTTAGAAGAGAACGGAGAAATTCATAATTATTTCTACCGCGTAATATAATTTGCGGCATATCTTCGATGTTAAGCCTAACAGATGTGGAAAGAAAATATAAAACGCCGTGATGTACATGGTTGTGCCTCGCATATTTAATACGTACTTTGATATGAATTGGAGATTTAAGAGGAATGAAGAAGCGAATGACCACGCATTTAGATGCAGCGTTTAATATTACATCGTAAGGTACAGTTTGAAAGAAAAAATTTATACGGTTAACCGAGTAATCGTTCTCGATTCGGATTATTCGCCATTGAGATGGCTATTAATATTATTGCTTAAATCTCTTTCTGCTCTCGAATACCGTATTTCCTTATCTGTAATCCACATCTACACGCTTACGGGCGCGCCGATGGTTATTAATCAACTTGCAGATATTAGACAATTCGTATAAGGAAGTAAACGCGATTGGCCAAGAATGTTCGCGCTCTTGTAAATCCGTATTGAATCATAATTTACACGGGCTGATTGCGATGATAAGAAGCGTGAAAAATCGAATAGCGGACTCGATATCGTAAGATACGCGTTTGATAAAAGAGAGAAAAAGTGTTTGTTATTCCAGAGTGAATAAGAACGGGCAAGAAAAGAGAGAATACCACTGCTCAAATAGTCGATGTATCGCACAAAACGAACTTCGCGTTTACGGTGCCGTAGTGCAACTGGAGATTAATGGAATTTCCTAAAAGCAAGTTTATGTATTCGTTGGCGCAGATCTCCCACACGAGTTCTCGCATGTTTTGCCGCGTTACGCTGACTCGGCGATATTTTCGAAAATCGCGACGCTTGCCAATGCTCGATAAAAGTTTCGTACGGCACGAACGTCCGGCGTGGCTGCCGTCTTCTTTTTTTTTTTTTTCAACGAATTGTTTATCGCCGCGTATGAATAATGTAATAGAAGTTAAGTGCATCGAGTCTCCCGGGAGGAAGTCGATGGTGATTCCACTCTCGCTGTAAGTACCGTTTCATGCGTTCGCGGAGAGGCGCGGATCTTTCTATCGTCCTTCTCTCACACGCCGATGTCCATTCGGATATTCTCTCTCTCTCTCTCTTCCTCTCCCGTTCTCTCCGGTTGTCATTTTGAAAGCCATCCGCCGACCGCCCCTCGCTGTCAGTCCGACCGTACGTACGTCCGTCCGTACAACCGGCGCACCAACCAACTCTGCGACCCTCCCCAAGTTTAATTAGACGGAAGAGGAGCATACATCATGGTCGACTCCGTGTCCCGACCTTCCCCGGGCGGCGGAGTTGGGCTTTCCAGAATTGTGGGTACCGACCTAGTACTTCCCCCTCGTCGTCCTTTCTCGTGTACCTCGAGAACGATGTTATATAGTACGTGTGGTACTCTCTGGATATATTAGTATTTGGAAAATATATTTCCAAAAAGTGATCGAAATATTTTACTGTAAAGGCGATTTGCTTTGCAAACACTATTGCACCAAATTGTGCGTTGTTTCATTTAATTTAATTTTGTACAATATGTAAGATAAAATTGATATATAAAATTTCCATGTCTTGCTTGATAAATTATCGCGTATTAAGAATAATTAACTTTATGCTATTCATGCAATAATTATATTTCACGAGATTTAATTAGAAATTTTTCATATTTAAAAAATTTTTTTATTTAATATGAATGTAATTATTTATTGACTTTTAAAGATTTTTATATAGTTGTACATACTGACTTCCGCGTAATAAATATTATCAGTTAGAGGACTTGGGCAGGAACAAACAGGAAAATGCGATAGAAGGGAGAAATAAGATGGGAATGGAGTCCACATATATAATCCATTTTAATTTACTCGGGAGATATATCCGTCTAGTTTGCAGTTTCCGGCGACTTCTCTCCTTCTTCCGCTTCGTCGTGCCTTTCATTCTTCAATTTTCTACCTCCACTTTAGTCCATTGCTTTACTGTCCTTGCTGTCACTCTTTATTCTTTTTACTTCTCGACCGTTCTAATACACTATAGTCTTCTTACTTCAATAGAAACATTCTACAAAATTACATTTTCCCATTTTATGGCAATTTGTTTGTTTCATATAGAAGCTATATTAAAGAAAACAATTGTTTTTTTTTTTTTTTTTTAAGTAAAATGTGGTAATAAATTGCATTAAAATGTTTAGCATTGTAACATTTCATATTTATATTTTATTTCTAAATATATTAAAATATTACAAATTTCTTTTAGATTATAATTGTGAAAATAGTATAAAACTTGAGACAAGCAATATTTTGTCTTAAAAATGATTATGGATTATGTCAT